CAAAAATACATCTTTTGGCCGTGGTGGCACCACCTGGGGAGTGCTAGGGCTGAGTGCTTTGTGGTATGAATGTGTTCAGGTCATACCAACTGTCTCTGGCCTTCCCTTTGTGTGGTGTTTGCAATAATGCCATCCCTTGATCAGGGACAAAGTGTGAACCTCTAAAAATGCCTTTAATAGCATTATATTTAAAACTGGATGAGAAATGCAGCAAGCAAAGTTGAAGCAAACATTCACAATAATGTCGAGTCTTTTTTCCTGTTCCAGTCATTTAGCTACAAGATTAATAGAAACTAAGACAAACTTGAGAATCTTCTGTATTACAGACAAAACTTCTTGAAACTAGGTGGCAAAACAGTCTGAGTCATGTGTCAGAGAAGTTTTCAGGCCATTTAGATCAAAAAGTGATATTAAAGTGATAACATTTACAGCTCTGGCTAATGTAGCCTTGCAGTTGATTACCTATTCCAGATGCAGTAACCTTTTCAGTATGAACCTGAATTGCCTGCAGTGTATTATATTACCTTTAACTTGTTACCACAGATGGATTTTGAGATCTAATAGACCCGCTAAAATGACATGAAAGTTTCCATGTTGTAGTGGCACACCTAGGGAGTTACTGCAGATGTTTACATCTGTAGTAAGGAGCACATATTTTGGTGTGGTTCACCAGGCAAACAGCACACTGATGTTTGTGGATGTGTGGTGCAGTTGGAACACTTCAGGACATGGTGGGAATGGTGCTTACAAACTGTAAGTGTTGGGTTCTAGTCTTGGGGCTGAGCATAATTTGGCTGTTTCTCACCTTCTGTATCACTTGATCATGATGTCAGTTGTGCACGTGTTAATGGCTGCCACACTTCCACAAATAAGATTCATAATTCCACTCAGGTACAGCATGGAAACTTTCAGGATGTTTCAGCTGTACTTTCTGAGTGCTCCTGTGACTTTGTAGTCATTTGTTTGTAATCTTATTCATGTTGGGATTTTTGGCATTTCATTTGGTGTGACTTGGAGCTGTTGTATAGGGGTTTATGGGGTGTTTTTACGTGTGCTTTGTCTAGGTAGCTGGCTTCATCCAGCAACATGACACATTGCGAGGTAGCTACAGCCTTGAAGTAAAATTGTGCACTTTATTTTAAATCTCAAAAATAACAAAATGTCCCAAATCTTTGAAGTTGTTTTTTATTAGAATATAAAAAATAAAGTTAAAACCGTGAAAACTCATAACTCTTGTGTGACACATATTAAATAGCTTTGCAAATAAAACTGTGGTCAGTACGCTAAGTTCTTTAAAGGAATTGGTTTTATTCTGGTTCTCCTTTTTCAGGCTAACAACTTTCAAAGATACTCTTGGCTTAAACTCATCACACACCCCTTACATATTCCTGCAGAAATCTCCTTCTGCCTGTCACCCCTGAGACGTGGCTGCGTGGCTGCTTCCCACTGCGAACAACCCCTGCCCTTTACAGGAACCTCCTTGTCTCCGCTGGTGACGCAGGTTTCCTGCTTGCTGCCTCACCTCCTTTTTCTTTCTGAATCCACTGCTTCTGTTTTTCAGCACTCCTTACAGAAAGGGTTTTCTTATGTGCTTGAAGACTTGACTTTATAAAGCTTGCAAAATTAAGTAATATAATTGTGTCTCCGAAGGATCTGGAAGTAGTGGAAGTTGCAGCCTTCATTAATGCACAGAATGCTATGTCAGCAATCCAAAGTCCCTCAAGCGCCATCTCTGGGTTTTCACCCTTGGCCTGGGGAAAAACTGCTTTCACAGGTCAAAGAGTAGTGAAGTCCTTTCTCCCAAAGCAGTACTCCAGCCTCTATGCCAAGTTTATCATCAGTTGTGAGTTTTGACAGAGTGGCATTTCATTGTAATTATAACTGAGTCCACAAACTCCTTTTGCTCATTCACCAGGAGAAGGCAATAAAGGTAAAACCAAAACTAGGAGAAGTCATGTCAGTCTTGTTACAGAACTGCAATTACAAAGCTTTTGCTAATATCTTTCAGTCATTACCATATCAGCTGGATATAAAAAGCTTTCTAATGAAGTGCAAGTTGATGCGGTTCAGTTTACAGACTAATTCTCCATTAGCTAAGGCAATTTACCACTGCACTTTTTAAAATGCAGATCCATAGCAATTCTCAAAATAAAGACCTGCTCATGTAAGTAGGTTATTAAGTGGTAAAAAGAGATAGAACAAACAGCATTTATCCAAGAGAAACACTAACAATGTATTCATTAAATGTATCTGTGCAAAGAAGGGTGTAGACTGACAGCAATACTTTAGATTCTAGCAAGGAAATAAATATTTCTATCCCCAGCTACCCCAAAGAAAAAGTTCTGTGAGTAGTTACAGAAGCACAACAAGGTACTATTCGCAGAAAAGTACACCAGTGCAAACCATACAAAGGAAAGTAAGAATAGCAAAATAAATATGTTTTGTATAAACAGCAAATCAAATCTCCATTCCCTTCTTATAAGCCTGAGAAGGTAATTTCTCATTCATACCTCCTTCTAGTGACCAGATTAATCTTTGCTGCACAAGTCTGTTGGGATCTGGTCCTACTTCCTGATGAGATCTGTGAGATGCAGGAAAATCAGGTCATGTTTCCTGATCTTTTCTTACATGACTTTTTAGGGTTCAAAGTGACAATAAATTGAAAATTGCCATTAACCAAACAGATTTAAATAAACTTATATTTGGGGAGAAAATACAACCGAATTCAGATGTGAAGCTTTCATTTTGGATCTGACTCCTTAGATAATATTCACAACTTAATTGTTTTTAATTGTTAGGTTTTTTCTCCTGTACTGGAAGATCTGCCTGGTGAAACACTAGAGTGGGTTGCCCAGAGAGATAGTGGAGGCCCCATCCCTAGAAACATTCGAGGCCAGGTTGGTCTGAGCAACCTGATCTAGTGGTAAATGTCCCTGCTCACTGCAGGGGTGTGTTGGGCTAGATGACCTCTAAAGGTCCCTTCCAACCCAAAGCATTCTATGATTCTAGATTAATACAACATGACTGTAACCAAAAGATGTAATTTTCCAAGGACTTTTGGACAGAATAAAACCAAAAATTTCATCTGTTTTTTAAAAAAAATTTGAACCTTGTGTTAGGTGTGTGGTCCTTTGTCCTTAACACTGATGATGTGGTTGTAACTCTCTGTCATTTCTGTCACGGAGGTTTCATTCTAATTGCTGGTATCACTACAGCTTTTGTTTCTTAAAATTAGACAGCCTTATGTATACTTGAGAACCCTTTTGTGAAGTGATATGATGGCCCTTGCTACCCCAGCTTCCTGGACTAAGTCAGCAGGCAGAACGGTGGGAAGGTGAGACCACGTGTCTCACGAGCAAGCACCCCACAGCATTGGTGCTGACTGAGGACTGCGCTGGTTTTGAAGATGAAGATGTTTGCAGGGAGAAAAATAGGAGCTGTTTGCTCCACAATTACTCACTTCTTTTTTTCCTGCTGGTTGGGCACAACTGCTGTCAGTAGTCACAAGGGTCATCCCTGCACTTTGAGTCTAAGCTGGTTTTGGCACAATTTTAATCTTATAGGTCTTATATCTACTTCATCTGTACAGCCTGGTTCTTAAGTATGTGTTCAATCCACGTCACCTTCCTCCATACTGTACTCACCTTATCAAACCTCCTCCTTGCCTACAAGAATAAGATCTTCTTTTTAAATAAATCTGTGCTGAATTATTTGATAAATGAGAGAGCATGGAGTGGGTTGGAAAGATGAAAACCCAAGAAGGGGCAGTGGCATCTTCTGAAATGTTAGATGCAGTTGAAAGAAGTGAACTGGCTCCTATAAACTCCCTGATTCAACATAAATATCCTAATTCTGTCCGGGCTGTATTTAGGGTTAAGTAATGTAGAGTTATACCATTAAACAGTGGAGCAGATGCAGTCTTCACGGTCCAAATAGAGCGTGTATTTTGGGGAGTGGGTGCTGTCATTCCTCTCGGGAACTTTTCAGCACTAATGAGCATGCTCTGTATAAGCAGATCCGTTTTGGTGGTTAAACCCAGCTATTTATATAGCAAAAAAGTGAAAGTTCATATTGCTATCCTAATCTCAAGTGTTTTCTTTCCTCTTCTGCTTAAGAGGATCTGATAACTTTTATCTTATTTCTGCTGTAAAAACATGCAAACCACGTATTTAAGTCAAAATCCCCTGGAGGATATCATTTAGAAGGAATGTTGTGCTATGATTGCTTCTCCCCTGGAACACTGTAAACTGCCTGGTGGTTTAATAGTTTGCTGTTGGAAATATCGAATATTAAAAGATGGAGATCTCAGTATTTGGGATTGCATCTACTAAAATCTTGTTCCACAACTTTGTTTTAACACTGCTTTTTGCTTTGCAGTAATCTGAATGCGAACTGCTGCTCCTTAGTGCTGTTTGTCAAAATAGTCAGTAGTTTCCTGGTCAATATTCAGCTAAATCAAGTAATTCTGCTTCAAATTCTTTTGTATTTATGCACTGTTTCAACCCACCCTGCCCCCTCTTCTCAGTGTTACCTGTTTCTCCAGATCCTAGATTTTGCTACCACTACATAAAGTCTTACAGATGAAACATTTTTTATTATAACAATTCAAGAGGAATAATTTTACAAACGTGATTAAAGTATGGCTTCTGATTTTATGAGTATTTCAGACTTATATCTTAAATATGTGTTCGTTTATAATAATTTTTCATCATGCAGTGACAAAACTGAAATGTTGGTTTGGCCTCTGCGTTTCAGTGTTAGAATTAAGCCTCATCGCTCCCATCTATGGATAGCTAGCACTGTCAAGGAAGAAGTTAAAAGGCTAAATATATGTTTTTAAAAGGATTTATCTGGTGCTGCCAGAAATGAAGTCAGCCTGCTGATCATCTGAGTTTAGTTCTTCTCTGACCTAGAAACTTCTCATTCTGACTGGTGTCAGGACCAGATCCAATCTCTTGCTCATGTGGATGCAACCCTTGTTTCCTCCTGTTTCCTGGCAGGTAACCTGGGGTCCCAGCTGGTTGAGTATAAAGAAGAGATGTACATAACATCTGACTGTGGGAACACGTGGCGCCAGGTAGGAACAGAAATCATCAAAGGCACCTGGAGATAATTTTAATGTGATGAATTTTATAATTCTTAACCAATCTTTATACACCCACTCTTTTGAGGGGGGTGGCTATTATTATCAGGCTGTCAGGTTCTGCTGAAACTTGAATATTTGGATGTTTTTTATAAGTATCTTACATAAAAAAACATAGAGTCTGTTTAGGTTTTTAATAATTTAAGTAATCTTCCTATGCTAATGAGGAAGTGGACTCAGCTAGATGTGGCAGTACAAATGTTCCAAGATGAAAGACATGGTTTAAGTAGAAAGGCAGATATTCTTCGTAGTCTGAAAACTGGGTTTTAAGCTTAAACCTTGTTCTCCTTTGAAAATGAGAAAGCAAAAATAGTTTGGAAAAAGCAATAAACCTTTGAATGTCTTCTGGTGTAATTTCATGAATTCTGGGAATACAAACACCAAAGTGTTAAAAAAAGAATAGTCATGTAGTAGCTGTAATGCCATTTGAATTCTGGATGTCTTTTGCTTCCAATGCCTGGTGTCAATTTAAGCATTGCACCTTTATTGTGTATTTTTTCCTAAATTGCTCTGTCTCAGTGATGATTTATCACAGGGTTTAAGATTCTTTTTGTGTACATATGGCAACAACAGATTCTTTTTGTGTATATATAGCAACAAGACAAATATGATCTGGAATCTACTTATAAAGTATATCCAGAAGAAAAACCAACATACCCTCAAAGGACCAAAGTGGGTCAACAAGTAAGAATTTCAGTTAAAATAGTGTTTTAGTGTTCAGCTGAGATAAAATTTAGTTGTGTTATTTTCTGAGAACAAGTGTGAAAATGTTCTCACTAGTGTTAATGAGCTTGGGGAGTTGGAGATAAAAGAGGAAAATACTGATAATTTCTTACATTGCTATTGTAGAGTGCCATTAATACTCCACAGAAGGACTTTTTAGAAGTACATTATTTATGTCATGATAACGTCTTTTGAGGTTTAAAAGTTAAAATTTTATGCCAAATTCCATATTGAAATCAAGCATATCATAAAAAGGTGTTTAAATGCAAAAGCCTTCCAGAATTTACAGTGGATACTGTGATGTCTAATACTTCACAGAGGTCTCTTTAATAATTTATTGTTGCTATTTGCCAAAGTTCTATAGTTTTTCTGGTGTGAAAAATAAGAAGAAAATGGTGAAGAGGATCAAATTCATATTTCTGCTGCTTTTTATTTGTGAGACCCTCAGGCAAATGATATGTGATGAAACTTGACCTTAAGATGACTAGTCATGCTGTAAAACCAGCCACAGCCTGATCCCTCATTCTGACAGTCAAAATGAAAAACATCATTGCTAGCTTTATTTTAATTAAAACTGCTATGAAGCCTTTGAAGAAGCTTACTCAATCTTAATATTTGTGATCAGAATGAAAATTTGGATTATTATGTATTTTATGGCCTCAGTGTTCATGATCAAACAGTGATACATTTCCTTTCTCTGTTGGAGCAGAAGACAAGGCTTCGGTCAGATGACATGGGAATTATTTAGAGAGTAAATTACAGGTTTCCTGAGCTGGTAAAACCAGAGCAAAGCTCACGTTTTGGCACAACTCTTCGGGTGGTTTTAAGTCACTGACTTGGAACCTTAGTGGTTGTTGTTAGTGGGTGCCTGTCGCCTTTCTTACATGCCATATGTGATGTTGCAGGGCTGTCTACAGACCAGAAGAGAGGTCTTTGCTTGTGTACAGGAGCAGAGCAACGCAGAACAGTAACTATAAAAGACTTAGGAGAAAAGGCAGTTCAAGGAATTCATTAAATGCTTTCCTGGAATAATGGCAGTATTGGTTCATAGGAATATAGGACAAGAAAGGACAAAGATCATGTAATTCAACCATATGATCTGAGATGACATCGAACGTACCAGGCACACGTCTAACAGAGGGTTACCAGACCTGTTTGTTAATCCACTGTAGGACATTCAGCAGTCTGGCTACATGGTGTTTCGCCGTTCTTCAGAGATTTGTCTGAATATTTGACATAAGCTGGCTGTGTGTTTTGCTGCTGTTATTGCAGTTTCACAAATTCTGCAAAGTAAGTTAATTTCTGTTTGTCTTTGGAGAGGACTGGTTTCCTGTCACCTTTGAATAACTTTTCAGATGTTGAAAGGTGATTATCGTGTCTACCCAGAGTATACGGGTTTTTCCCTTGGGAAAAAAACAAACTAAAATCCACTGATTTTCTTAATGGATCAAATTTCTAAAGTGCTTTTCTTTTTTGTTGCTCATTGATCAGACTATTTAATATGATATCCCTCTCCTGAAGCATGATAAAACTGAATGCAAAAATCACAATTTCTGTCAGTACCAAACAGAATGAAATGATTGCCCTTGATGTCTTGACATTATTGGCACCTCATTTCAGAAGATTTCACTTCTTTGCACTAGCATCGCATTGTTGACTCAAATTGTTTCTGAATCATAACTGGGACCAGTCCCTGCGTTCCTGGATTTATAACAAATTCTCAGTTTAAAAATGCTCTACTGATTATTTTCCTTCTGTCATTTCTTAACCAGCTGTACACACTTGAATGATTTCAGCTGAACCCCTGTTTCCATAGCTTGCACATGGTAAGGTCATATGAGAGGTCAGGAAGACTTACTATGGTAGGATATACAGCCAGTATTTACTGGTAGAAATAAAAATGCCCATATGAGAGTTTTGTGAAATTAAGAAAATACTGGTGATAAATGGAAAAGTAAAAACAAGGACTCTAAGTAGCCACAATTCCTCTTGGGCTGACTCCAGTTGTTCTTCTGCCTTTCTGTTGCATGATGCCTGAGCTGCTGGTTGGTATCACCTGAAACCGTCACTCCAACGTGTACCATTTTAAGGCAAACTGAAATCTGTGACTGTGCATTGTACAACATCACACTGTAAATAGCGGTAGTTTAGGAGCTGGTCGACAAGTAGCTTAAACATCCAGCCAGCAGCAGTGATCTGGCCTGTAGGAGAAGGGAATCTCGCCTTGACATTGTCATGAACTATGTGGGCTTAGATCATCTCAAGTGAACCACAAAGATCTAGCCTGAGGTGAACTCATGGGACAGATATATCTATCTGGAAGATTTTTATGTCTGTTATACCAGGAAGACAATACCATAAAGTGTATAACGAACATGGTAGGAGTCAGATAGATAAATAAGTCTTGGATCCTGGCAGAAATGGGCTACCTTTGAACACAATTTCAGACCGTACAGACTTTATCATCTTTTTCCCCCTTTGGCCCTGTTATTTCAGTCCTGATTTTTAAAATATTAGGATAATCTGTCAAATGCTAAGGATGACCTTGTGTATACATATGTGTGTGTTTTATTTATTTTTTTGAAAAAACAGCTTTCTGTTCACAGTTGTAGTTGCCATTGTTATTTGAACAGCATCTGGTACAACACTATGCTTGAAATAGGGCAAACAGAGTAAGAGAAAGGTCTGCCTTTAAAAAAAATTGCTTAAATAAAAGGGAAAAAAACAGCAACAAAAGAACTTTCGTATTGGATCTGCTACCAAAGTAGCTAGTGTAGCAACAAAATACTCAATGAAGATAATAAGGTCGCACAGAAAGTCTGCTATATGTCTAGGAACGGAATCTGGATCACTGCAGCTTTAGGCCAGTGCTTTGTTTTCTGGGATATTGTTTCTCTATGTCAAATTCTTTTGTATCAAAGCAGTTTGGAAAACCTTTGTTTAAGCAAGACTAGTTGTTTTTCTGCAGACATCTTAAGAGATGGGTGGTAACACCTTTAAGCACAACAGGAAAGGCTGCAATCCCAGCCTCTCATCCCTGGGAAGGTCCAACCGGCTCATTCTGTGTAGGAAAACTTCTACTTCCAGATTTGAAATTAGAAATGGATGTCACTTGGTGGGAGAAGCAAGTGACTTTGGGCATTTTTGGTTACTTCTGAAACTCTGTATCTCAGAGTAATATTGTGTGGAGTGTATTTCTCTAGGATCATTTAAACATGTTTTAGTTGATTTCATGGAGGTCTCCTAATTGTTCCCAGTGGATATCCTGGTCTGAAATGGCTGCTGAAGCTGTTGGGACACAGGAAAAAACACAGAGAGCTGAGGAAGGGGAGAGAGAGGGGGAGGAAAGAAGCTGACATTACAATTGTAAAGCACATACCTTGCTCCAAAACACTAAAGACAAAAGAAAAAAATACAGAAATAGGTTATAAAAATCTACATCTGTAGTTGCTGGCTGCTAGTAAAGATCATAATAAATTTATTTCCTGACTTTTGTTAGTGGAGAGACATATATCGAAATTTGTGGCTGACTGTAAACATACATAGCACTTGTTCCTACGTTCAAAATTCTGCTCTAACACCAGGACCATCCTTGCCTACAAGCTTTGCAAGCTGTTTGTCTTGGTTTTGTTTATAGACAGTAGAGATAAATATTTACTTTTGTGCTGAAATCTGCAGGCATGGAATACTTCTTTTCAGTGTACTGAAGATGAAGAGTTTCTTTCATAAGGAACTTCGTACATTTTGGTTATAAAATGTTTGGAACGTGTCCAAGAAAAGCATGATACAAAGATGGCATTAATATGCCCATAATGTGTCCGCTGTTCTTTATAGTGTGCTAAAGCTGGGATACTAAAATCGTGCATGAGGAAGCACCGTGGTGCTTTTCTGGGAAAACCTTGTTTGGATAAAGTGATGCAGATACCAACTTCCTTTACCTTCAGTATGAAGGTGAAGCTTTTGGAGACTGCATATCCCAGCATATACTGTTTTGTTTTGATTTCAGCAAAAGTTCAAACAAAGTTTAGAGAACGATCAAAACTCTGCTTGCTTATCTGACTCCAGCTGATCTCATCCTTTTGAAGTGCATCTAAAATTAATGTCTGCCCTTTACTGAATTATCTTCTGAAATACGCAGCTGTGTGGAACAAGTAGATAGATAGGACTGTAAATGTCTCAGATATCAGGGTTTTGCCTGGAAATTGGCAACATTGAAAAACTGATCAGACACTTGAAGCCTTAGTATTCCCATAAAATATGCTCTCACTAGCTGAGAGGAAGACTGGATTCTGGACCCAGATTAAATTCTTACTCTTTTTGAAGTAATTTTGAATGTGCTGTCATATATTTCTTCCCCCCCCACCCCCCCACTGGTTCAGTCTTGCTGATCATTCCTCTAAATGTAGCATTTACTATTGTCAAAACCCAAGTGTTTAGTATTGTCATTATTTTTTCATTCACAAGGCAAAGTAAAACTAACTGTGTTTTTCAGCTTTGCTTTATCAAAGTATGTGAGAGGCTGCATGTTCACTATTAACTGCTGCTAAGTGTGTGTAGTAACTCTCACTTTAGCTCTTGCTCCTGTGTTAAACAAACTTTCACAGGCTAAAAACATCAGTAAACCCTGTCTTAAAACAGATTTCAGATGTAAAAAAGGGAAGATATCTACCTGTTCATTTATTTTAGTACTGCTGATGACCTCTAGAAAATGAATGAAAAGAATTTAGGAAATTCTGAATCCTCTGAACCATTAAATCAATATTACATGTATTTTGGTTCAGAACTCAGAGCGGCCTCTGTGTGAGATCACATAAATTTGAATTGAAATAAATCATTGACACTAGAAATGCAGAAAACACGCTTCCACCAATTATTTCAAGTTCTGTAGAGTCTGGAGAACGGGTGAGAAATTCACGGACAGCAGTACTTTTCCTGTTTTCTTAGAATTAGACTACAAAGCATTTTATTCTGCAAGATACACAGAATATGGCAAATACCAAAGTAAGGTGACAGGTCACTTGGTGATATATAATAGGAAGGAATGCAGAATGCATACTGTGAGAAATATAAGCTTGGGCTAAAATCACGTTAGACAGTTTAATCTAACTGTGTTTTGAACCTGAACGTTTTCTGATTCACCTGCTTAACTTTCTTTTCTTTTACAGCCAGGAGGAATATAAGAGTTAAACTGACTTTTATGTCCTTTTCAATTTGGAGTGCGGACCTTATAAAACATATAATTCCTTTAATGCTGGTGTGCTTGTACATTTTATTTCTGCTGGTTTGCACATTTGCTTAGCTGGCCTATTTTTGTCCAAATTGTAGGTCTTCGAAGAAGAGCATCATATCTTGTACCTGGACCATGGTGGAGTTATTGTGGCCATCAAAGACACCTCTATCCCTCTGAAAATACTCAAGTAATCCTACAGTCAAGTAGAGTAGAGCTGTTGTGTATTTGAGACCTCAGGCAAAGTTCAGAGTTCAAGATGAGCATTTCAATGTCATCATGTACAAAATTCAGTTGGAGTCAGCTTAATTTAACATCCACTAAGCCAACAAAATGCAGGTGGATGTTTCCTAAAGACTACTTCATGGTGCTGAAGTTACCATGAAATAATGCATTAAGCATAATAAAATTTTCTTGCATCGATGTAGATATTTTAGCTTAAAAGGCTGTCCTGGACCTCTACAGTATAAGCCATGCTCAGCTTGATTGTTATCTGCTACTGGTTTGCACCAGCAGTATATGGCAATAATGCTCAACCTACGATGCACGTGCGGCTTAGGTATCCAGCCAGGATAGTTCATTCATCTGTAATAAAGCTCTGTCCCCTCCAAGGGCCACAGGGAACAAAGATGTTGAAGAATAGCCCTGAGTTGCTCTGGCAAGAGCAATATAATATTTCCTAGTGGGGAAAGGACTTATGTGTGCTTATGTGCTGTGTAACACAGTATGCAAGAAGCCAAATTCATCTGAGATATTCATGCGCAAATTAACTGTAGTATGCATAGATCCTGTATATAGTGATAGTGCAGCAAATGGCCTTCTTACCTTCTCTGGAAGGGAAGATGTGCTGCAAAGCATTTTGTTTTAAATAATAAATCAAATATCAAGTTTTAAACTCTGTCATAGTTAAACTAAATACCGTATGTAATGGCATAAAAAACTATAATCTTCAGCATAAAAAAGGTAAAAGACCTTTGTCATTTGTGACTAGGTTCATTTTTGCACAATACTGTATACACTAATAGGAACCCAGTTATGTACTTGGTTAGCTAGAATGAAAGCAATAATTAACCTACTATCCAGAAGACCTGGAGGAAAAGTACAGAAGAAAAGAGACTCTGAATCACAAATTTTGGGTGCACAGAGTATTTGAAATATGTTTTGCTGATTCACCAGCATCTTTTGCAAATTTTTAAGTGGATGGTAGCAGCTGTGAAGGGCCATCACCTTGATGCCTGCAGTTACTGCACCTTCCACAATTTAGCAATTGAGCTGTTTTACCTCTCATGTTTCACTGACCTCTGCTTAACAGGCTTGTAGCTTAGAGACTATTAGAAAGAATGAAGTGTAAATTAACTTGCTCTCAAACCTACAAGGTAGCAAGATAATTCGTTGACGACGTCAGTTTTTATCTGCCTGACAATTTCCATTGTAGTGGCAAATAGATTACACACCTTCTAATAAAGATGTGAGCCCCTGGAAACGTTGCTGAGGAAAAGATCACATTAATACAATATACCCTCCAGGCATATTATATTTTTGTGATCATAAATCCTGGGCATTAGTAGGGAGGGGATTCTTTTTTTTGAAGGAATGAATGAATGAAGTTTTGTGTAATAATAGTTGTAAATGAAAACCATTTCTGCTTTCTTACAGATTCAGCATAGATGAAGGCCAGACTTGGAGTACACATAATTTTACCAGCACTTCAGTCTTTGTAGATGGATTACTTAGTGAACCCGGAGATGAGACGCTGGTCATGACGTAAGTTTCTGGTTTCATCTCTCTTTTCAGGGCGCTCTCTGCTTATGCACTTAAGCATATTTTTAATCGTGGATGTTTGAGATAGTCCTTGAGTCAATGTGCAGTCACACAGACTCTTATGCTGATGTCCAAAGAGCCCTGGCATGCAATCTGTCTTTGAAATTATCTGAGTGCACTGTTTCAGACTTGTAAAGATGAAGTGTTATGTCCGTATGAAATTTTGCAAAGTTACCACTAGGGAGAGGTGGAATAATAGGACTGCAAATACAAATCAGAGAAACTTAGATTAAAAAAATAACGATTTTCTGCATTTTTTCTGTTTTCCACAGATTCTTAGGCAGACTTCAGAAATGCTAAATATCTGTCCCTTCTGCTTGTGAAAATTGTCTTCACAGTGTAAACAACTGTGTTGTTGTCCTAGTAACTAGCCTTGCAGTACTTTGTGTAACCGAGCATTATGCTAACAAATAAATACACGTTCTAATTCTGTGCCGTGACTGAGGCAGATGCTGTGAACAGAAATTCTGCAGCTTAGGCCCCTGTTTATCTGTTTCAAAGGACCAGGGACATCTGGATCTGAGCTGCATATTTTGCTCCATCTGTAGGATGAATGCTAATATTTTAGAAGTGTCTGAGACTAAAAAACAGCTGTCCAATTAGAGAGAAAGGAACATGCTGACTGCAGCAGGAAAGGGGAACGCACTCAGAGATGTGCAGGTTGTTAGGTGTGCTTCTATCCGAACAGCTTGTGTCATCCTTTGTATTGGAGCTCAGTCTGTTCCTGACAAGCTGCTTCTCCTAGGAGTTACAAAGAGAGCTGCCTTTGACTTGTACCAGTAGCATTTTCCCCAGGGGAAAAACAAAATGCCCAGTGTGGAGCTGTGTAAAGGATCCTTAGCAAAACAGAAATCCTACCCAATGTACTCAAAAGCATTGTGCCAAGTTCACAATGCTGTACTGTGCAGGGATCATTTTGGTCTGTTCTCTCGTTCTTTCTCCATTGTCTCATTTATCCTCTGTTATACATATATGACCTGAGAAGAACAATATTACTCCACCGATTTCCCCTTCTATCAGCATAGTTTTTTTTTTTATGGTATAATATATGCTACATGGAGATACTTATGCCTTTGAATGAAGGATTTCCATTGATTTTAGTGGAAGCAGAGAGATCAAAATCTTATCGTAAACTGTACTTACTGGCAGATAAAACGATGTGTGATGACTTTGTGTTCTGAGGGTTTTTTTATTATTAAGTATCTTTAAAAACAGTGATTTTGTGAAGATGTACTTAAATATCTGGCTGAACAGGCTAAAGAGCTCATGTAAAACACTACCTTTTTGAAATTTTCCATCTCAAGTGTATAAAACTGTAGCCAGATTTCATACATGAGCCCAGACTGACAAAAAAGCATCATATGACTTTTATTTTTCTAAGGGCAGAACTTGAGTCTGACTCCATCATCTCAATGTCAGGCTTGTAGGATCTTACTTTGCAGCTAGTTCTACTGAATATGGAGGACGTCAACCACTTACTGTCACAGGCTAACCATGAAAAAACTTGCAGCCTTCCTACCAGACTCTGAAGATAATGGGAAGAATAAACTTGGAGTATGTGTTTCCTTGTTGCTATTATATAATCTTACTTGTCTCTCCTACTGCTTTTGATTGGGTTTTATCTTCAGGGTGACATTGTTGGCCCAGAGGTGCTCTATCTGACTTTACATCCAGATCTTTGGTTGTTCTGTCTGGCTTAGGTCATTTTCTCTTAAAACTTCATGCTTGCACTGAGCTGCTGGGAATGACTTAATCTACAGTGATTTGCTTTTTTTGAGAAATGTCATCCACTGATACACACTCCTTGAAAAAAAAAATCAGCTATGCCATTATTTCCATTTTATTAGATAAAAAGTGGGTTTTTTTTGGGAGAACAAGGTAAGATGAAGTTGGGTATGGTAATGGGAGTAAATTAATTGTGACATTCACCTTGAAGAATCCAAATCCATTACTAAGGACCTAGTCTGACATTTTTTACTTGAACAGGAATTGCATTTTCTCCCTTTGGTAAAGAGTTTGTTTGAATACGAACTTTGAATAAAGAGTCAGTGTCAAAATCTGCATAAATTAGCAGAGATAAATTAATTCTGAAGTGGGAAGGTAGTAACTGAAAAGGTTTACAGCAAAATGGTGGAACAGACATGGTTTAATTTAAAGTTTCTAAAATAAACTCACAAAAGAGTCAAAGAATATTTTACTTTTATGGAAAGCAGCTGTTACTGTAAAGTCTTGGTTCTGCTGGAGTCAGCGTAGGGATTTCGTTCAAGATTTTTAATTTTTATTAAAAAAATGAAATCCAGAAAAAGATTATCTGGGAAAGATGTTAAGGGACCTGGTAACACTGTGTGTATGAGTGACATCTCATTCTCCAGCATGGTGACTGGGACATTGACCTGACTTGTAAGGGACTTCCATTTGAATTCCCGTTCTGTCCTAACTTCCCCAAAATGAAGTGGTCTGGAAAGCTTTACTGAAGAAACAGGAGAATGGGAACCTGATTGCCTCAAGTCTTCATTTCAGAAAGTTTCGTGTGTTCTCCAAAATAGAAAAAAACCCCAAATGTTGACTTGTCAACAGTTTTCATAGACTGAGTTGTCATCTGTCAGTCGACATTAATCTAAATCATTCATCCAAATCCCCTGTAGTATTCAAAATATGTGCACACAAATGCTAAGGAAAATATATTTTATTCCATTGTTCTCTGCGATAGACCTAGTTAAGATTTTTAGGAGTTTTAAGCAGTAAGGTATTCATAAAGTTTAGGAAACTCGTTCTGTGTGAAAAAATCAATGTCTAAATGAAGAGCTCAAATCCACTCTATTGCTAAATGAATAAGTACAGTTTGCTAAGAAATTTTCTCAACAAATTGATATATATTCATAAAAATAGTGCATGGTCTGGTAGGATTTATTTTGTTCTAAATTCTTTAAGAATGAAAGTTACTGCAACCCAGTGTTATGCTTAACAATATATTGAGTTTGGGAGAAATTACTTAATAACAGTGGATTGAGTAATGGCCTAACTCAGTGGAAAAAGGAAGACTTTTTGTGTGTCTGAAATATTGATGTTCCTCTCCAGAGGAAGTAGTTCGTATAATGAAAGTTTCAAACCTGTTAAAATGACTTCTAAATCACAGTTCAGCTTCTGGGAGTGTGTCCCAAGCCGGGTGATTTAGATTGCAGTGTAAACCCAGTAGGCAAGATAACCGTGGTACCACAGACCATGGCCTCTTTTATAAGGCCAATAAAAGGTTATATAAAAGGACTGCTTTTCTGTATGTGAAGTAGAATCAAAGTCTTCCTCATGGGTAATAGTATTTTTTTTCCAGAGGAATTTTTATTCTAAGGTCTTGTAGAGTAACAACTTCAGATGCTGCTGGGAGCTTCATGACGTCTCTGGACTGCAGAACTCCTGTGGATGCATCTTGTTCTCTTGAAAGTCCATTGTTGCATTCCTGTTGTGTTCCTAGATGATAATGGAAGCAAGAAAATAGTCTAATTTAAAGTTAATCAAAACAAGGTGGATATAACAGGTGTTAGATATTAGGGAGAACCCTCTGGGTTTTTGCAGCTGTTGATTCTGCTAGGAATATCAACCTCGGCTTTAACAACATCAATAATGTTCAACATTACATGTAGTTTGTGGGGCTTATTGTGCCACACGTGGCAGCACACTACTCCTGTTGTCTTTGAGTATCTTACTAGGTGGACATACGTCTCTGTGTTGTGAACTTTTCACTGAATTTCTCATACTGTAATGCTTACAAAAGGTAGAAAAATAGTAGATAAAACCTCGTTATGTAATAGAATAGCAGGTTTCCAAAGGCAAATTCTAGGTTTTGTTTGCAACTAGCTAATCTCTCATTGAGAAGCATTGCTCAGTTACGAAATGGTTGTTCTGCTCTCTGCATAATGAAGAACGTACGTATCTCTCAACAGATGGAGGAAACATATAGAAACACAGGAAGAGAATGGTGACCTTGCTGAAGGAGCATTGAAAAAGCAAGCCTATTTCAGTCTAATTTAGATGTCAGCTAAGCCAGACATACAGGTGCCTCTTTATGGGCAAGTTTCAGCTAGTGCTTTTGCTGGCACCTCCGTGGACACAGAATTTAACAGAGTAAGTCAGTGTTGTAGTGTCACTGCAAACCCCTGGTCTTGGAGCCAAGACCCTGGGACTGCCCTTTCTCTCCCTCTGCTCAAAAGAAGACTTGGAAATATGTTTGAATATGAGGAACTGAAAGGTTAAGAATCCATGTCCTGTAAAAGTTTTTTTTATCACTTTGTCCCTGTTTAAAGGAGGAGAGCAGGACATAAAAAAGGGTGACAAGTGACTTTTTTATTCAGATCGAGTCTTTGGGTCGTTTTGAGCCCTTGTCACTGAGTGAGTGCCTGCAGCTGTGGTGCTCTAACTTCTCTGTCAGGGAGACAGTTCCTTTATAGACTCTACTTCTGATAAAAGGTGATGATGAGTTAGACATTAGAAACTTTGAACCATAATAAAATTGTTCAAATATTTTCACTTAGATTTTGATGGGGCCTTGAACTCCATTTTACTCTATTTTGCTCTCAGAATGAAGAAGCTACAGTTTTGGTGACCACAAGCTATTTAGTCTGGCTTTGCAGGTAAAGTCTGAATGAAGAATTGTCAATGTCCTACCTGTGACAAAAGAGATCTGATTTTTAACTATGTGAGTAGAAGAAAAAAATAGCTAAAGAATTAATTATAGAATTGTGTAACTATCCCAAATTAATTTCATCTTTAAGTAAGATGACAGCAGAGAGCTAAATGATGCAAAGCTGTCCTTTATAATGTCATCTGTTTCTTCTTAAATTAATCCATTTTGTTCACTACCCACCTTGTATTTACTTCTGCATAAAACATCAGGCTAGGCATTAAATATGCAATTTTTTCAAAACAGCTTACATGTTAAAAGGTTATTC